GGAACCGAGTTCGAATTTCACTCGAATCTATTAGATTCACTTACGTGCTAATACCTTTTTCTACTCCAACTATGGATAAATAGCAGGGCAGACTGGCTTCTGTAGCCTTGGATGGTAACTTGTCTAGGAGAAGAACAACATTGAATTCAAAACCTGCGGTGGGTCATTTCGGAACCTTTTGATACGTAATCTACTATGTCTCTGTATTCGGCTCTTTAAATTGTAGTTGGTTCTGCACCACTATAATCAAATCATATGTGTTTTACCCTAATACGTAAAAAAAAACGACGGGAGAATCTAGCATTTATGTATGGATATAGATCCGACAGTATGAAGAAAAATATACGGAAAAAACAAACAAAAATCCTAATATGCAATTATGCTGTTTTAATGTTAATATAATGTCAATATTTAATTCAACATGAAAAGACGATGTCCATCGTCTTTTCATGTTCAATTGAATATAGTCTAATGTTAATTATGTTTTATGAATATGTCCTGAAGATGGTCTACTAGACCGAAACGTCCGACGTTGACATTATATTAACATTAAAACAGCATAATTGCATATTAGGATTTTTGTTTGTTTTTTCCGTATATTTCTCTTCATATATATATATATATATATATATATATATATATATAGTGGGGGTGAAGAAATATAACAAATGTCGGTCGTAGCTATACCTCGAGAGAAACGTTGTTGAATATTTAAAAATCTGGCATCTGATGCATCAAGATTGCCAACATTGTCGACCTGATTCTACCGCTTTTTTTTTTCATTGTTGCTGTCTTAAAAAATTCAGAGGCCAGCCCAAGAGAGCAAATTATTATCCGTGGGTGTGACATTGTGACGGCGATGATGACAACTTTTCGATATAGGACCAAAACGGTGCAAAGTCTCCAGAGGGACGCAAGAATTCTGATGAGTCGACACGCTTTCCGTACTCAGCTACTTTCAGGCATGCATTCTCCTAACGATTTCCTTCTCACTATCTCCTAGAATCGATTCTGCCACGCGGTTTCATTCTCGTACAATGAAACCGTCATTCGTTGACGCAGTCTATGAAGTGGTGTTGTGGTCTACAGGATTGAAGCCAGTGCCGACACGGAATACGGCAGATTTTTAAAGTATATCACAGTGTAACAGCAATTAATAGTAATATGAAGACAGTTCACATGAACATCAGGCATCACGTATTGACCTTATATGTTTGAATAAATTGGTATTTATTGCCTTAGAGTGTGATTTCTCTTTCTTAGATTAAGTTTTTCTTTTTATTTATAACTCTTACGTAATACAAGAATTTCTCTTTTACGAATTCACAATACAAAGATAAAAGTCTTGGAGAATCATTTAAGTAATCTTAGGCATCCATATAATCTCGTAATATGCTTGTCTTCGCAGTTTTATGCTTCGAATTTAATTCTTTAATATGAACAGTTAAAATTGGTCGGGTTACAATATCCACGTAGATACTTGAATATATATTCAATTGGTTTTCGTATCACTGCACAAACCTTATTTATTCCTTTTTTTCTTACAATAACAGATGGTTGATAAATATACAACCTCTTATCACTTGACTATTTCCCTTCTGTTAACCTCTGACGTACGAACAAAAGTTTCCTTGTACTGCATTTAAAATAGCCAAATCAAAGAATTGTAGAGAATAAAGAGCCGATTTTCGAATTTGATCCTTATGCTTACTGTTCCCCACTATACAGTACAAATGTTATAAATAGGGCAAAGTTATCTCAAACTGGTTGACACAAACTCATTATTCGCGTAGCATGTGTGAAATAGGCCGCCAGTTTCTACTCACTTAGTGAGCACCTCGTTTAGCGAAGAAAAATTCCTTGTTTTTTTTTTTTTTTTTTTTTGTACAGTAACCTTGACACTGTACAAGACGAGGAGGTGCCCTCGAGGTAGAGAGTTACGTTAAGGGGTAGCTTATATGGATAGGTGAGGATGATAACGGAAATATAGACAAAAATAAGTTCGGTGTTTTTTAATCAAACCTACATAAAGGAAAGATTGCTGCTTAAATACACTAATAATATATATATATATATATATATATATATATATATATATGGTCTTAAGGTGTGCTATATTTATGGCATAAAGTGCTCAATATCAGAGATAGAGCGTGTGTACATATAAACGTGAACATTGAAGTCAAAACTTAGAGGCGGCCTGACGATTGCGTCTAGCATGAAACAGACTGTCGCCTCTAAGTGTTGATTTCAATGTTCGTTTTACACACACACACACACATATATATATATATATATATATATATATATATATATATATATGTATGTATACTATTTACATTGTTCGGGTTGTTTACTTCATCTTTATTTCTCACATTCACTACGTTTCGGCCGTTGTACGCTTCGGCCTTCTTCAGGTGATATACGTTGGAATTTCGGACCGAACCCTTTATTTATTCAACAGTGCTAGATTGTTCTAGTTCCACTTGCCATACCTTTTATGGATATTTCGGTTTCAGTTAATTCCCTTTACTAACTCAGCACCCCAAGTTTTTGTTCACATCTGTTGTAGCATATTCCTACAGCATCTAAATACCAATACTTGGAATTTGCATGAGGACGTTCTGATATGAGAATTTCTATTACATATATATATATATATATATATATATATGTTTGCGGATGACTACATATATATATATATATACATATATACATATATATATATATATATATATATATATATATTTATATATATTGATCC